AAGCAAAGGCGTGGCTGGAGGCAAAATAAATAAATGTAAATAGGGCTTAAGGGAGACAAATTCAAGCCAAGGCAAGACTCGGCAGTTGCAGCAAATAGTTTACAGGCTACATTTTCATTTTGGGATTAATTACAACTGAGCTACAGTTGAGGATAAAGATATTATTGTTATTGCATTAACATTTAAAAATATTATATTTACAACTTCTGTTGCGAGGCTTTTTATGAGAAATCGCTCTGAGCTTTTGTCAGCAGCAGCAATACGCTTAACAGCTGCTTAACATAATGTTAATAATACAGAGCTCAGTCAATGCTAAGTATATTAATCGCTTTGCAGAAAAAGTTATTTAAAATTAATATTTCTCAATTGATGTTGACTTTTCGTGTTTCGAAAAGCATTCCAATTTGAACCTGATTTTTTTCTTACTTATTAGGCATTACATGACGCTTAACAGATGCCTAACAGAATGTTAATCATACAGTGCTCAAGCACTGTCAATCATATTAATCGCTTTACAAATCTTAATGTACTTGCAATGCTGTCAATTGCAAAGCAGCGAAAACTTCATAACTATTTTCATCAGAAAGAAAAAGACCATCACGATCTTGTTAAAAGTATAAAGCAACTATTAAGCAACAAGAACTTATTATTGGAATATATGTATATACAAACATTTGCCAATGCAGTTCAGTAAGCTATGAATAATGGAAACGAAATTTATGAGCAGCCCGGCTCATGGAAACCTTAGTAATGTGAAAGGAATATCGAGGACCTGGTTGGCAATCAAATGTTGGAATATATGTCTGTGATTTTTACTTGAAGTGCTACTCGAATAACCAGCAGCTGAGGGGCTGCTCTGGACACTTTTAAAGGCTGGTCACACTGACGCCCACACCTGCCCCTCCCACGCCACCCTCCGCTCGCTGTCTCGCTCTCGCGCACTCACACAGTTGCACTTATTGGTTTACTTGTTTACATGACAAGCTGCTCGTTTTCACACTCTTTCTTATTTGCTTTAACATTTTCGCATGCATATGCAAGCAGCCCCACAGCACACACACACACAACACACACACAAGCAACACACACACTAAGAGCACGTCTGTCCAGGCAAGCTCGCAGTCTATCGCTGTAGAGTTGTGCCTGTTAAGTCCTGCGGTGGCATTTTGCACATACATGTGTGTGCTATGTTGTGTGTGTGTGTGTGCTGTGTGTTGGTGTTGGTGCACTTTAAGTGCGCTTGTATGCGTTGCACTTGTTTGCAGTGTTTTTACATCGAATGTTGATTGTACAAAACCACTGAACAAGAAAAATTAATTATACAAAAACGTCACCGCCAAACAGCTACCGAAACAGTTGACCCAACCCAAGGTGATTGTTGTTGTTGTTGTTGTTGCTGCCCCCTGGTGTTGTTGTTGTTGTTGGTGTTGTTATGGCACCTACGCTGACGCTGGTCGAAATTTTCGTATACGCTGCAAATAAACGGGATTTTGTGCCTAACCAAGAGACAGCTGGACAGCTGGACAGTTGGGAGCGACAGAGCAGACAGATGAACATGTGAAGATACATGCATTGTTCAGCATATATGTATTTCATTATGTTTATTTATTATTTAACGTATTTGGCATTAGCAGACACAGACACAGACACAGACACAGAACTAGAAACGGGCATAAAACAATTTTAGTTCTCTATAAATATATACACCAGGGCATATGGGTACGGGCCATGTTGAGTCAACCGCAATGTTTAAAACGAAAACTAATAAATCATACGAAAAGCAGACAAATAACCAGCCACAGATAGAGATAGCTGAGCGAGAGAGAGAGAGAGAGAGGGAGAGAGAGAGGGAGAGAGAGGGACGACAGCAGCTGCTGCCCACATTTCTATGCTGAATATAAATCAATTTATGCAAGCGCTTAAAATACGCAGCAAAATGATTAAAATTGGAAAATGGACAAAATATAGAATTGAAATCAAATAAAATAATCGAAAAAAAGGAGAAGCGAATTTTTGGCGCATATAAATTTGTTGTGGCAAATGCCATTTACGGCCAAAAAATTGGTTCGAATGCGTCCCAGGCGAGGCTTTTAAGCAAATGCAAAAATACTTGTAGCATACTTTTAAGCGCGAGCGCTTAAAACGCAGCCACACAGCAGGTAGGCGTGGCAGGGGGGGAAGGGGTGTGGGCGCGTTTGCTTGGCTTGAGCCAAACGCCGCGGGCTGCTACGTGTTCAAGTGTGAAGCTGGCATTGCCACGCCCACCGACAAACACAAGCACCAGCAGCAGCACCAGCAGCAGCAGTAGGCGTGGCAGCGCCCAGCGTCTTGTGGGCGGCACAAATCGACGCTGGCAACGCTTAAGTATTTTTCATTTTTATTTTCACGTTTTACGCTCTTTTCTGGCGTTGTTTCTTTTTGTTTTTGCTTGTTCGGCGCACGGAAACTGCGTTTTTTCCTCCCCCCCCCCCCCCCCCCCCAACATTTTCTGCTTCTTCTTTTTTTTTCGCTTTGCATTTTTCTATGGCAGTGCATTTAGATGTTGATGTTGTGCTCAGCTTTTGTTGCGGTGCTTAGAATTGCTTGCCGGAGCCGCATGCACCCCCCGGCCCCCCACGCAATCCACGCCCCTGCTCCCCACAGAATTAAGTTTTTATTTCAAGCAGCTAACGGAAGTGTTGCTGCGCTTGTTGTTGTTGTTGCTGCTTTTGTTGTTACTGTTGTTGCTGCTGCTGTTGTGTGTATGCGAAATTGCAGCTAAGAAGTAAGCAGCGCACAGGGAAAAGAGGGGGTGCTGGAAAGGAAGGGGGGTGAGCGGGTCACAGCTGCCCGCAGGGTTAGCAGGAACTTGAAGTTTTATTCTCTTCTGGCCAGTTGTAGCCAACATTGTGGCACATGGATGGAGCAGCAGAGCTGATGACAACGACAATAACTGTAATGAAACTGAGATAAGCTGCTGGTACTACTACCTACTCAGCCAGGACGAGGACGAGGGCGGGTGAGGGCGAGCGGGGGGTGGCAGCTGAAATAGTCGCCGCAGGAGCAAATCGCCTGCTCATTTGTTGCGCCATTGTTGTTCGCCTGCCGCGCTGAATTGTTTGAAATGAAGTTTTGCACGACTCCAAGATGATTATCAAAGGGCCAACTTGCAACTGAAACTGAGAGCTGAAGAGCAAAAAGTCCACGTCCAACTACAAGTCCAAGTCCAAGTCCCAGCAGTAGACAAGTTCAAAGCTGAGTTTTAAGTTTTGATTTGAAAATAATTAGGAAATGCTTTCGGTAAGCGTTTATCCAAGAAAACAAAAAACATTTAGATTTACGCTTGACAACTCATTTTGTGTGATTAATTAACTTAGAAAAAGGGGACCTTTGGATTAATGTCAAATAAATCGAAATAGGCAAAATTCAAATAAAACATTTCTTGGCATATCTTGACAATTTAAGTTGATTTGCTTGGGCAAGTAAAGAAATTGAATATTTCTTGTGGAAATAAAATAGAAAATCTCACAAAATTAAGATTTTCCCAAATTGAACACTTCATGTATATAAGTTAACAAGTTAAATATGATTCTTCTTCTTATTTCACAGCTAGCGCTTATAATTCTCAACTGGTTTTAGCGCGCGCTTCAATATTCCCGCTGCACATAAAATTTTTCCCCTTTTTTGCGTGTTTTCAATCAATTTTCTGTTGAAAATAATTAATGAGTTACTTAGCACTGATTGGCCTGGCCCTGGACAGCCACAATTTTCCGCTCGCTAACGCAACTTAAAAAAACAGCTACTCTGTATATCAGGCTAGCAAGTGCATAATTTAAAAAAATCGTTACTTTGTTACCATCCCCCCAAAAGCGGGAGCAACAGCAACAACAACAATAAGAACAAGAAGAACGCCATTTATCCTGGCGCACGAAGTGGACTGACAGCCTCAGCCTTCAGTTGACGCCTTCTCCGATTCCAATGTCGTGCTTGCTGTCAGCTTCAACTATGCTCCCGCACACACACACACACACACACACACACACACACACACACACACGCACACACACAGCAGAAGAAAGACAGACAAACGGTTGGAACTCTTGGCGTTGACATTGCCAGCCTGCAGAGGCCCAAAAATATATTTTGCGTGCTTCTGTCAAGTCGCATTGCGTGCGGGGGTAGCTGAAGCTGGAGACGGGGATGCAGAGGAGGCTGCCTCTGGGCTCTGAGCGACGCCCATTCCTCATGTTTGGCGAGTGATTTATTTGACTGACACTTTTTTCTGCGTTGATTGCATCGTAATCCCAACATAATGAGTACTGTTATATTTCATGGCCATTCTCGTTGCAGAGAGGCCCAAATGAAGTAGACAATTTTTCAAAAACAAAGACGATATCTAATGGGACGGCAATGGGGGACGGGGCCATGTAAACGTTGGCCACCAAATATGGGGGCTGGTCCATTGTGCATGTGACACACGTAGGCCACTTGAGGACCCCAATAACGGACACGGACACACGGACAGACGACTTCGGCCCTGGCCACAAAAATTATTGCGCTCAAATTTCCATCATTTGTTCGCGTCGTCAAGTTTTGCGCAATTTTCCGTCCAATTTTTTTTATATATTTTTCTTTTTTTTTTTGCGAACTATTGCAACTATTTGTAATGCTTCACTTCAACTGTTTCCAAACGGCCACAAAAAATATGCTCCTTACACTGGCAAAAAAGAGGGAGCTATTACATAAACTGAATTCCATTAGGAACCGAATCGATTTGAGTCCGAAATTCTCACTAAAGAACAGTTGAAGATTAAACTAATAGAAATCATATTTTTCTAAAAGATTAAATAAGAATAAATTATTTGTAAAGTGAGTGAGAGCAAAAGTTCGAACCAAGGCATCGGTTCAAATCGTGAACCGAATCTTAAGAATCTTATATAAGATCGTTTCCCAATCTTTATATATGATCTAGCACCCGTTTGAAGGGCGAACAACCGAGCATATCCGTAATTTTTTTTCCCCAATTAATTGCTTTTGCTTTTAGCTTCAAAATTAGTATGCGTATTGCTAGGAGTAATGTTTATAAACTTTCGGTACCTGCAAAAAGTGCGTGGATTCCGTGCTCTAATCATGGGTCCGCCAGGCAGCGGTAAGGGCTACGTATCCGACAAGATTGTGCAAACTTATGGCGCTGTGCACATCTGTGCGGGCGATATATTGCGCAAGCATATACACAATCGCACAGTACTGGGTAAGAAGGCATCCGAGCTAATTAGCCAGGGCCTTCTGCTGCCCGACCATTTGTTGGCCGGCGTAATTTCGACGGCCGTGTACAACGTGAGCAATCGGAACTTTATCCTCGACGGATATCCGCGCACTCTGGCACAGGCTAAACACTTGGAGAGTCTTCTGAAGCTGGATGTGGTCTTCAATCTGGATATACCTGTGGAAGCCATAATTGACGTGCTCAGGCATCGCCAAATACATGTACCCTCTGGCCGCGTATACAATGAGGGGGACAGGGCGCCGCTCGTGCCCGGGCGCGACGACCTCACGGGCGAGCCCTTGGAACGGCGCCCCGACGACCGACCGAAGGTTGTGCTGGCTCGTTTGGCCGCCTTCGATGGCCAAACGAATCCGGTAATTCGATTTTACAGGAAGAAACACATTTTACACACCATCACTGGGCGAAGCCACGGGAGCTTGTGGCCGTTGGTTGAGAAGTTTCTGAAGAGGCGCTGGAAAGCGTTTCCGCCGCGTACCGTCAGGCCGCCGAGGGAGTTAAACTTGATCAAGCTATGCTAAGTCGAAATTGACGGTATTAATTTTGGATATTATAGGGACATTTGTATACATTTTATTATGTGTTAGGCTTTAAGGGATCACTTCTTAAATATTCTGACAATTGAGCTGTGAAACCAATATAGGATCTCATTTTAAAAGTTTTAATAAAGGATTAATGAAATAAATCCCAATTCTTAATGGAGGATAGGTCTCATAGGTCTCATTAGAGCTATCTAAAATATAACAGTTAGGGTTAAAACTGCCAAAATACAGTATAACAGTTGGCGTTCCAGCAAAGTGCAAGGCAAGACATTTTTGGCAAAACTTATTAAAGCGGCATCGGAACTATTTGCCGTATAACAGTTTTATTCGTTGCTGCCTCATGACAGTATAACAGTTGCTATTCAAAGCTATTCAAGCTACAATACAAGAAATCTCTGGCAAAACTTGAAGAAACATAGATTCGGAACTATTTATCTAAAGTATAACACTTTTGTTTGATGATGACACATGATTATGTGAAAGTTGCAATAATAGCAAGCTGTAATAATAAACTGTTATACCAGCTGTGTGTATATGTGTTTTTATAATAAAAACCCGTATTTATTGTAATCAAAAACTGTTATACATGTAATCTGTGTGGCAAATGTTCCCAAAATAGCTATGTTGGATTTCTCAAAGTGAAATACTTGTATTTGTATGAAAAATGGGGTACTTTGGTATAATTTGCCACTGCCGAAGAGAAGCCTACGCCGCAGTTGAGTTCGTACTGTTGGAATTTGTTTTCGTACTCTCTTGCATTTTTCAAACATTGTCAGACAAAATTTACGACAGAGATTACACTATGCGAGGCAGGGCGGGGCGAGGCGTGGCGAGATAGGTATATGACGAAATTGGCTCAGACGTAGGAGCTAATTTCTAGATCCACTCTACGTCCAGGCAGCAGCCGAGTGTCGTAGCCGCAGCTGTGTGCGCTGGCAATAAAAACTTTTATTATTGTCACACGTAGCAGCAGCAGGAGCCAAGTCCAGCCATAGCTCCAGTTTCAACTCCTGCATAACCTGCGTACACACTTCCGTTTTCCGCTTTGCGTTGTCCTTTGTTTTGTTTTCTTGTTCCTTTTTTTTTTGGGTGGAGGTCTGAGGGGCTGAGGGGAGCCAGCAAAATTGAATAAAATGGCCTCAGTTAATGGTTGTCGGGCTGATTCAGTTAGCGCATAAAATGAGCAGGACCCCGAGCCTCGCAACTACCCGCTCCCAGCATCCGCTTTGCTCCTGCCTATGCCATGCGTCCCCTCCTGGCTGCTATCCGCTCCTGCCACTTCCTGTGCGAGCAGGCTCTGCTCCTGTGCCGTGCCTGTGACTGTGACTGTGACTGTGCCTGTGTCTCTGTATATTTTTGGTCACAAATGTGGCACGGCCTAAATCTCGGTTTTACGAGCGCATTCTTTTGTTTGCGGCCGTCGCCGTTGCCCTTCGCCATTGTTTTGTTTATTATGTATTTGTTTCATTTTTACATACTTATTTTTTGTCTGCTTCTTCTTTTCCAGTCTTTAGTTGGCCCATTATGCGACTCTCTGGGCCGGGGGGTATGTGTGTGTGTGTGTGTAGGAAGGGGCGCGGGGGCAATGTGATGTATGCGTTCGTATTAAAATGTAGCTATGCGCCATGCATATATTCCGCACAGATTACACGTATAACAGTCTTTTTTTTTTATTCATTTGTATAACAGTATAACAATTGCCGTATAACAGTTGGCAATGCAACAAATTGCAGTCAGCACATGAATAAATGCATACGAAATTCAGCAAAAAAAAAAAAAACAAAATGTTGGGAAAGTAAAAGATTTGACGCACGAAAATTGCGAGGAGTACGGCGAATATTTTAGTCGGTTGGCAACGTCAGCCTCCAAAGCCGCATTTAAATGAACGACGAAAAGTGCAGACAGTTGGACATGCAAATGTCAGTGTTCAGCAGAGGATGAGGTTAAGCAGCGGGCTGAGAGATTCCGAGGGGGGGGGGGGGGCGGGGTGGCAGTTCCTGACGAAATGGCCGCTCGCTGGTTCGTTGGTTGGTTGAGTGTTTAAAACGGCTATTGTGCAGCTTGTGGTTGCTTTGCAAATTGAATAAAAGTTCATTCGAGTGTAAGCGAACCGATAGCAGCGCACCAACACAACAACACACACACACACATGGGCAGTCCGGAACAAAAAATTGAAGGGGCGATGGAAGGAAAAGGCAGAAGAAAAAAAAACTGCGAACCAACGAACATTGAATGAATGTGAATGTAATCGTTTTGCAAATGAAAATTGATTTTTGAATTGTGGGCACGGTCCGGTCTCTCTATCATTCGAGCGACTCAGCTCAGGATAAACGTTGCGCAATTTGGGTTTTAATTTAAAACGCAAAATTTCAATATTATTAATTTAAATGCACATAAAAAAAAGAGTGCGAAGCGAACTAAAAAAAGTGGCATAAATGATGCACAGCTTAAATATTTGAATGGGTTGCCTAATAATAGTGCCAGCCTGCGATTGCAATTGTGGCTGTGTGTGTGCGTGTGTGAGCGTGCGTGCGTGTGTGTGTGTGAGGGTGTGAGCGGGTGCTGTGCGAACGCAGAAAACTATGCTATACATTTTTTATGCTGCCCCAAGAAAAGCAACAAAAACAAGCGGAAAATATGCGCTTCCCAGTTGACGGCTCCGGCACCGGCTCCGGCTCCGGCTTGGGCTGAGCCAAAGCTTTTCTTATGCCACAGCGTTTTGCACGATTCAAAGGACCAAAAAAGAAAAGAAAGGAAAATAAGAAAATGGAACTAGCGGACGGACAATCAGACAGCGAGAGGGAGAAAGATAGAGACAGACAGACGGACGGGCAACAAAGTGGATTTGAATTATTCAAAAAATGCGATTGTTATTTGCAAAATGTGCAGTGAATTGAGACGCGCACAGACAGGCGAAGACGAAGACGTCGACAATTCTAGCTGCGATTTACGGTGAAAATAATGTTGTATTTATGAGTCGGAATAGTTCGGCCTGAGAGGCAGGGCGGCAGGACGGCGTGGTGGGGAAACTGCACACCAATTGGATTCAATGATAGTGGGAATTGTGCTGTAACTGGAAGCTGTTAAATGTGAAATTTATGCAGCTGAAAAGCATCGAAATTATGGTGCATATAAAAGTTTGTGTATAACAGTTGTCAAAAAAAAACTTATTAGAAGACAGAAGCACTTATGACATTTGTGAGGAACCCCTTTTGATGGCAGGGCGAAAAGCGTTTTTGGAGCGAAATGATAGGTGTTATAAACTTGTGTATAACAGTTGTATAAAATGTTGCGTAACGACAGCAATTTTTGAATTGATGAATCATAAAACTATTCGAATAGCTCTTCGAACAGTTTGACAGGACATAGATAACAATGAAAGCTGTTTAGAACTTTGTATAACAGTTGTAAAATGTGTGTGCAAATTGCTATGAACGAAAAAATTTGTTGAAGTGATGCATCACAAGAACTAGTAAAGGAGTTTCAATAACATCATGGCAAGGGCTTATAGATAACATTGTCAGCTGTAATAAGCTTTTATATGACAGTTTTAACATACGAAAGTTAAAAAATAGTAACTGTTAGCTATATGATACGTAGTGAATAGTATAACACATTTTATTGCAGCTGTTAAAGGTAATTAGGCTTACATTATGGCAACTTCAATGCGAGTATAAAAGTTTTGAAAACTAATCGACAGAAAAACCTATAAGAAGTTTTTATGTAAACTTTTGCCCATGCATATGTTGTAGTACAAGACTTTTTTCAAAGGCTTAATACTGGAGGAATTATATACATGATGTCTATAATATGAAGAACTTGTCTTAAAGTTTGTCAGCTTGCTTGTCAGCTTGGAGAGTTGTATAACAGTTATTAAGAAACTGATGCAGCTGCCAATGCTGCCCATGCTGCGCAGTATAATAGTTTTCAGGGAAAAACATGAACACGGCCTTGCCGTAATTGACAGCCCCATCATCAGTCTTGGCTGTTTAGTCGTTCGTTTGACAATTTCTATCCATATAACAGCTATTTATCATCACAGCAGGCCACAATAGCCGAGCCAAGCACCGCACCAGCTACGAATCGTTGCTGACACTGCACTTCCCTGTCGGGCGCCAGTGTTGGCAAGTCATTTAAAATGAAAGCGCAGTCAGCGCTAGCTGTGCACCACCCAAGCCAGCAAATCACCAACCCACAGCCCATTCAGAAAGCCTCGCCTCATTCCATCGAAAAAACCAAAAAGGTTTTAATCAGTTATTCATGAGGCCGAGAGCACGACGTCAAACAAAAGCCGCTGCGCCGGTTGACATTGAAAGCCAGGCGGCCAGCCGTGATGCGGCGGTCAGAAGAAAGAAGCAAGAGCTGCAGCATATTAATGCGAACGAGAGAGAAAAAAAATTTATGAGCTGGAAAAAAGGCTGCAACTAAGCTCATTGCAGGCAAGCAGGCAACTCCGGCAATAACAATTGGCTGCAACTTAAAAGGCGAGGCGGGCGCCAAAGAGTTTGTTTATTTTCGGAGCGGGACAAACCGAAATGGAGACAGACACGCGGGCCAGAGGGGAGGGGTTGGGAGACAGACAAACGTACAGACAGACTGACAAATAGAAGCAGCAAAAGCTGCGCGGGATTCAACATGTTTGCTGCTGCTGCTGATGATGATGAGGACTGACTGACAACTAAATGATGTGGAGGGGGGGGCTGAATAGAGGCAGGGGGAAGGGGCGTGGCGTCTTATGTTGACGGAACCACTCCAAACTAATGAGTATGCATATTGTATGCATGTGTGAGTGAAAGGCTGTTTGTTGCCTTTGTTGCAACAACTCAAAATGCACTCGGACGCCTACACGAGGCAGGTGGCAAGAATAGCAGCCCGCGTATGTGTGTGTAGGTGTGTGTGTGTGTGTGTGTGTAGGTGTCAGGGGCTGGGTTTGCTGCTTGACGCTGATTTTGTTTTGTTGCGCTGACAGAGCTTCAAATTAGTTGGCACAAAACATAAATGCAAATGAATGCGAGCACTCCACAAAACGGGGGTTGGCAACGCTCGCAACCCTCGCACCCTCACACCCTCCCGCACTACCAGGCAGCCCTTGCAGCCCTGGCTGAGACTTATTAATGCAGGGCTGATTGGACTTTTTGTTTGT